TACCCCTTATTTTCGGAAACGCCCACCTGAGTTCAAGATCACGGACATCATGTGGAACTTGTTGGAGGCGGTCCGGAGGCTCCCCTGGACACATCCTCGATGTCTGTGCGACGCACGGCAGGCCTCCATACTGACGGAATCCAAGCAGAATACGAGGGTCTTTGAGAGGTGTCCGAAGGCTTCCACCCGCAGCAGCCACTTCGGCAAGTGTTTGGCCAGCCTTTCACCGAAGATCATGGTGAAAATAATCGGGCTCTTCGGCTTCATCTCACCTGGGAGTTTCCGAAAATAGGGGACCCTGATATTTTTTCCCTCCCGCCTGGCTAGGACGAACCTACGATGATATAGCACCCTCAATAATAGGATCCTTATTATCAGGACCCTTAAATAAGGTACCCTTGTTTTCGGAAACTCCCACCTGGCTCTACCGAAAGAGTCGACTCCAAGAACTGTAAGGTCCTTCGGTAGACTTTGCTTGGCCCCAAGCCGTGGCGTCGAAATCGGAGGCCCTGCCTCGAGCGACCCGCGGGGAGTTGCAGTCTTTCGGCCTCTTTTGGGGGGCTTAGGGATTCTAGGGTCCATTTACAGCGACATGTTGGGTGCAAGATCGGGATTTTGAGGGTGTCTTCTTTTTGGGTCATGCGGTTATGGGGCTTATCATATGGATGATATGGCTAATTGGGTTTACTCACAGGGATTAAAGTCCTTATCATTTGGGTCTTTTTGGGGCTCTCTATAGGGTTTCTTATCATTAACTCTGTTTAAGGCTTTCTGATCGGGATTATAGGGTTTAAGGTCGCTTCTGCCTCCGGATAAAGCAGCTCGTGGGGATGAAAATCCAGGACGTAGGGCTTCGTCTGGTAGTGCGGCACAAGCACCTAGGTGGTCCGTTTCTAGGGAACCCTACAGCTTTTCTACACGGATACGGGGAACAAACAACAGAACGCATCGAGTATATTGATATAACCCTCTAGGCACATGATCGATGGTGACATTCCTGCGTTGCACGTTCACCGCCACGTGTGTCAGCATCCTCAGCATGGGCCAACGTGTGGCCATCAGCACCGGGAGGACTTCGATGCCTGCTTCCCGGAGTTCGGTTTCGACCAACATGAGCAGTAAGGTCATCTGCTCCGACAGGTAAGGTACCATCTCGGAAATTCCAGTCATGCAAAGCAAGATCTGATGGAGTAGGATGTTTAGCAGTCCCAAGGGGCACTCCGTGACCTTTACCTCCCAGTTTATGACAGAGCTTGGGTTCATGGTCAACGCTGCTGCCTCGACTGAATCCGACAAGAGCAAGTGCAGGTGCTCCTGCCAGTTCCATTCCGACAGCCACTCACCACTCCGTGGCACAGGACAGCTCGAGATTGTAATGATGTCCTCTGAAACCAGTCCCATCTTCGGAGCCAACGCAAGCGCTCCATGCACCCATTTGCAGAAAGGTCGCGCCCACCTAGAGTTGAGGAAAACGCCGAGAGTTTCCCAGTTCCTCAGTCCGTAATAGCCTGCAGCCAGCAGATCTCTTCCCAGCATTGGTGCAGATGCTCCATGAGCTGCACAGGCTTCATGGTGCTTCACAAGAAGCCGGCAAGAGAACCAAAGGCAGAGTTTCAAGACAAAGAATGCAAAGGGACAGTCTGCTTCCAAGTCCTGGTGAATATGCTCCTGAAAAGCAGTGACATAGTTGAACCAGATCGCATCATCTTCGTCCGCTTCTCCTGGGCCCGAAGCTCGGGGGGACCCAGTGATCAGATACACTGCCTGCGTCTCCGTCCATGAAGTCAACAGATTCTCGGGATCACGTTCTAAGGTGTCACGGCAGTCGTAGTTGGGGAGTAAAAGGTCCGGACGAAAGGGGCGGAAGTCGGAAGGCATGGGATGTTCGGGCACATTTTCCGCAGCTGAAACGCCAAGCCAAACAAGCCAGGGAACGTGAGCCATGAGTCCGATTCTAAGCAGACATAGCTGATGCCTACACTACGGGAGTACACAGCTGTCCTTGACTTGGCCGAAAACCGACTGTTCAGAGGTTTGTCTGGTCCTGTCTCTTCCATGTTTCGGGTTCGTGGCGAGGCTCACGTATCACTGATGTCTAGCAGCCGTAGCTACTGGGGAGATGGGGAAATAGACAAAATCCGAGAGACCCTAATGCAACCGAATCCAAGGCCAAAGGGTAGTAGGACTTTGGGACGGACTTGATGGCTTGAGTTATCCATTCTCAGGAAGTTGCCGACGGTTCATTGGTTCTTTAACAGAGATTACAGATTGCAGGGTTGTACAGTAGGGCTGTTTTTGTGAGATGGTAGGCTTTACCATGTGGGGTATGGGATTGTACCGAACAAATCAGACGCTGCAGTCTCAATGCTCTTCCGGCTTGGCAAGAAAACTCCTCAACCTCCAAGGGCACGGTTCACTTTCGAGGTTTGTGCGGACGATGCGAACTTTGGAGCGACATGATGTGGGCATGATGTGATACGGTTGATGGTCAGAATCCTGCACTACCCATCAGCAGCAATATACCATAATTCCCATAGTTTAGGGTCCTTAAGGTCATGCAGGACTTTGTCCATCAACAGTATTGCCCCTCCAGCTACTATCTTCTATCTTCCTGCTTAAACCTAGGCCCCTAGTAACCCTAAACTTTCCCTCACCGGTAAACCCCCGCACTCTAAACCTCTAAGAAAGAAAAGAAGATGCTTCTGTGAGCTGGAAGCCCAACCGAAAGAGAAAGAGCAGGATCGTCAAAATTGACCAAGCAACCCTAAGAACTACTTGTAATGTAATTTTATAAGGGCCTTGACGCTCGGAATGCCGTCGCGGGCCGCATTATACTATCATCTGAGTAAGCGGCCCTAAGCTGGGAATAGTACTAGCATTTTTTCTGACGCCCCTAAAGTATCTTGCAGCTTCAGCTGCTGTTCAGGGCGACCAAGCCCTTCGAAAGGATGAAAAGCTCCTGTTTACTAGGGCGTTCTTCCTTCAAGTACTCCTTTCGGGGTTCCTTTCTGCATTACTGTAAGGGCTCCTCATAAGGGTTACTATAAGGATTCCTTTGCGGGTTTAGGATAGGGTTGAGAGTTCTTCGGGCTTTCGCCAAGCTCCTGGGTTCTAGAGTTTGAGCTTTCAGGGATTAATGCGGGGGGCGTGTTTAATGGAACCCCCGCAGACCGTTTGGGCACGGCTTCTTTAACAAGTTACACGTAACACTCTTGACCTTGGTTCGGTAGATTGGGGGCTTGGGTCGGATTGTGGTCTGGGTGGGTTTTGTTTCCCTCTCGCATATGGCAGAGAACAAAGCTCACAGGCGAGGTTAGCATAGGATCAGAACAGTTACAATGCACCTAATTGAGATGAACGCACCTAATTTCTGGGTGGGTTTAGGGTTTAGGGTTTGGCTAACTTGCAAGGGCTTTGAAGGATTCGGGGATTGGCCCTTGGGTCTGGGTGGCATGGACTAATTGAGATACTTAGCTGGGTTTTTGGCAGGTCTCATGGGTTCGGGATCTCGGTGGCTTTGACTGTGACTAACATGGAATAAAGTCATGAGAAGACTTCAGGGTTGAGGGAGAGCTTCGGGCTTCAGGGGCGTGTCTTAAGATTGGCCATTAGCAGCAAGGAAGCCAATAAACACAACATCGGCCGGTGCAAAAACAGGCATTCTTAAAGACTCCCCCCGCCCCGACAAAAATGTGCAACGAACTCTTCCAGCGAAAAAACGCATTATAGACTCCTCCCTGGCTAAATACGCCCCCCACATTAAACTACAAGGAACCATATTACTTGGAGGATCATGGGACTTAGTAAGTAGGGTTATAATTAGGGTAACTATACTTATAACCCCAATTAATGGACTTATAACCTTACTTACTAAGTCCCATGATCCTTTAAGTATGGAATAGCAGTGGCAATTATTCAAGCTTCCACCTCGCCTGTAGGATTCTGGTTGCTAGAAGAGGCCATAGCGGTTCTATGAGGATGGGGGGTTCGGGCTTGCGTCACATCTACATTATATATATATATATACACATACATACATACATACATACATACATACATACATACATACATACATACATACATATACCCCAAACCCTAAAAAATATATGTGCCTGCCCGCCCCCGGCTTAGAGTTCTACTTTTTAGGACCTCTGAGTTTTGCAAGTCCCAGCCCTTGGGAGGCGAAGTGATGGGCTTGGAGTTGTTGTGCGACGGTAGAAGCCCGAGGGTTTAGGAGTTAGGGTTTAGGGTTTAGGGTTTAGGGTTTAGGGTAAGGGGGTTTCGGGATGAAGCAAGAGGGCCTAGGGTTTAGGAGTTTGGGTAGGAGGGTTTAGGGTTGAGGATAGGGTTTAGGAGTTAGGGTAAGGGGGCTTAGGATTTCGGATTTATGGCCTAGGGTTTAGGAGTTAGGGTAGGAGGGTTTAAGATTTAGGGCCTCGGGTTTAGGAGTTAGGGTAGGGTTTCGGCGAGCACTCACGGGACACGCTGGGCGAGGCTCTTGGTGCTTAGTCGCTTGGAAATGAAACCTCAGTTTGAGGCTGTTCAACACATAAACCCATGCTGTGTTCGGTGGCATGCTGTTCGAGTTTTTGGGAACAAAGATACGAGACCAACTGGGAGTTTCAGAAAATAGGGGACCCTAATATAGGACCCTAAATAGTAGGATCCTTATTATAAGCACCCCAAATAGGGTACCCTAGTTTTCTGAAGTTACCAACTAACCACAGGGTGACGGAGACGGCGGGATGCCAGGTATCTTTCGTTCGGCTCCTTGATGTCATAGATCGATCAGGAGGGGAGGAGGGTTTGGGTTTTCAGCACTCACAACTGGGACAAGCATGGCGAGGAGGGTTTAAGGTTAGGGGTTTTGGGGTACTGTTGGAAGTTTGGGATTTCAGGCTTAAGTTTTCAGCGAACAAGCAACCCCATGTAAGGACTGAACCCATCAGGGGCTGCACTCATGCGTTGGAGCCTTGCACGGAATTATACATGGCGGCGCACAAGAAGCCAGGGACCCAGGGAGGGCGGGACTTTGGATTTCACCGGAAGTTCGGCCTATGCAAACCGGTTCGGATAAGGGTACTATGAAGGTTCGGTGTAAGAAAGTACCTAAGAGAGGACTCTTGCGGTACTGTAGGGGCTGAAGTGCATGCGACCTTTGCAGCTCTTGTCATGTGTAGCCCTGTGCGGTTTTTCCAGTTGCTCTAAGGCCCAAGCATAGTCGGCCTTGAGCATGCTTGTAAGGACAAGGCAGGACAGACTTCAAGCTCCGTGTTGCTTTGTCAAAAAAACCTCCGCCTACGGTGTGAGCTATGACAGTATTGAGTTTTGCAGCCTGCTGGTTCACACCAGCAGTAAGGGTAAGATCCTGCTTAAAATACGGGTGCTCCAGATAGATCTATAAGGGGTCCATATCGACACCCTGAAGAACTCAATTCCGAGCGCTGCCCCAGCTCCTGCACGTTGTCGAAGCTCTCCTGCGGGTAACACAGAGAAAGCTCTTGGTCTAAAGTCTAAAGGCTCGATGACAGAGGAAGGTTCTGTTGGGGAAGTTTTAGAATTCATGGGTCATAGGCTCTCAGAGAAACTCACGATCGCATCTGTCCCACTAGGAGCACTGGGGCATACAAGAGCTGTAGATTTCTTGAGTGCCAATAAGGTGTTGGGATATCTTATACCTTTGTTATCATAAGCAACTCCAAAACAGTGTTGGGTATACGGTATACAGCATCCTGCTCCCCACCCCTGCGCAGGGACTCCAACATGAGAGGCATCGTCTCTGGATGGCGGCAGGAGTGTCTGCATATACAACTGTCGCACTTGATTCGCAGCGCAAGGTCTGCAGCAGTTGAATTTCTCGCTGTTCAGATGTCTACGAGAAGAAGCCCTTAGGCCTAAGCCAAGCTCCTGCTGCGCGAAAGCCACGGGCAAGAGCTGTCGAGAGATATCCGCGATGCAGGCGCGGTATCGCATTGTGTGGACTCCTTCAAAGCATGTTCTGTCTGAGGATCATACCCTAACCCCCCAGGTACCTACTAAATAGGGCCCTAGGGGCTCTAGTACCCTATGTTGTAGGTACCTGGGAGGTTAGGGATACTTGGGAGGTTCCCCGTGCAGGAAGGTTGCTGTTGTGTCGCATGTATGTCAAGCGCCCAAGGCAGTCAAACCAAGTGCAACTGACACAGCTTAGCCCGCTGGAGCCCTAAACCAGCCAGAACCCTGAAGCCGAACTCAATGCAGCATAGACTCCACGGGTCTCCAAGGTTTGGATCAAGCGCATGAACTGCCCGAAGAAGGTCACCTGCGGCCAAGTCAAGGTAGGGTGGAAATCGTGGAAACCCCGCACTCCACAACCCTTGCCACTTTTGGTTTAGGGTTTAGGGTTTAGGGTTTAGAACCCTAAACCCTCCTGGAGCTCCCTCTGCCCCAGAACGTGTGCCCAAGCAAAGACGAAGCCTCGAAACCCCGGGCCAGTCGCTTCAAGCGCCACACAGGAACTACCCCTGACCTCCCAGGTACCTGCTATATATAGGGTACTAGAGCCCCTAGGGCCCTATATAGTACCTGAAAGGTTAGGATACATCACACAAGAAACTATGGAGTACATTGACAAGAAAACTCTGGAGTGCATGCTTTGGAAACGCCAGGCATTGTGAAGCTTATATGGCTGAATGCACTACAAACCCAGAAACGCAGGTGAACGCGAATAAGAAGGCCTGACCGCTCCATCTGTAGATACCTAAACCACAGATCCAGAACGTCTTGGAGGTACCCTTGTCTACTGAACACCCCCAAAACCTAACTCAGGAACCCTAAACCTCCAAAACCTAACCCAGTAATAAGCCCCAAATACGAAGATTCGACGGGGAGGGGTTTTGGATGAGATCATGGAGGTCTTCAACCCATTCGGGTTTAGGGAGTTTAGGCCCCTGCTTGTGGATCCTAAATTTTCAGCTAGGGTTTAGGGTTAAGGCTAAGGGCCTCTTTGTGGATCCTCCATGTTCAACTAAAGTTTCTGGTCTGAGGCCTGTTTGGATCTTAGTTTCCTAAGTGAGGTACATGTTCAATCTCATGCCTCTTCAGGCTGCGACTTTGTTTGAGGCACATAACCGATTGCCTGTGGTAAAATTCTTGCCTACTCAGGCCCATTTTTGAAACCGGACTTGATGACTGCCAGCATTGCCTACTCAGGCCCCTAAACCCTAAACCCTAAACCCCAGGCGTCTCGACTCCTTTGGGTTTGCATGATCCTGGCTATCCTGATAGACCTGAAATTCAAAGCTCCTGCCGAATCCAAGCGCTACCTATACTCTCCCCGTTTCCCTGTTTGTTAACAAATAGCTGGCTACAGGATCCCGAAGATAAATGACCGTGGGTAACAAGAAACAAAATCGAACTACAACGGAGGTCCTACTCTCGGCATGGGGCCGATGGAGACAGCTGAAGGCAACAATTTCTGTCTTCTTGCCTTCTCCAGCCAAGGTAATGTCAGAGCGGTGCACACTTCTGCCTGCATCCAACATTTGGAGTCTGGAAGAAGACGTGGGGAACACATGACTGTATGACTTCTCTCTGCTTTATACGGCCTTTTCAACAGGGAACCTGCTGAACACTAGGCCTAACCGCGCTTGAACTTTTCTCGTGGAAGCCCACAACTTACAAGACGTTCCTTCACCTCAGAATAGGGGCCCTCATCTCTGGTTCCCTGTTGGGGCCATATTAAAAATGATCATCTTTAATCTTTAATCCTTATTGGGTTTATGATAACAAAAATGTATAATTGTTTCCAACAAGGACCCTCATCTTCTGTGACTGAAAGATGAAAGCCACCTTCGACTCAGCTCCCACCTGCAACTGCGGACTCATGTTTTCCAGGAGCTGCTGCTGTGTGACGTAGAGCATCTGATTCCTGCAAGATCGGGCATACTGAGGGTTTAGGGTTTGCGGGTAAGTTGCGGGAGTTTCGAGGGGCCAACGCAACGAAAGAGAGGGCAAAAGGAAGTCAGAACCGTCCAAAGCTTGCAAGGCATCTATCTGCCGTCCTGTTGTGCAGGAAGAAGCTCCGAACGCGGCGCTGCAGCTCTTGTGGGATGGATTGGGTGTGCATCATTTGGTTCAGATGGTGCATCTTCTGCTTGAAACCCTGGCTCTCGGCATTCATGTCTGCCACGATAGCGCAAACCTGTCCCAGGACGTAGGCCCACAGCAAGCCAGAGACCATGACGATGACGGTGCAAACAACTCGCTCCAGAATATTCCTTGGCCCGAAGTCGCCATACCCAACAGACGTCATCGTGTAACTGCAGAAGTAGAATGAGGCAATGTACCTGAGAGGCTTCACAACGTGCCATCCTGTGGAACATAACAGCGCAACGATTTGAGGGGTTGGGTGGTGCGTGATGTATGGACTTGATCCTCCTTCTCCTGGACCAACTTTACCCCTAACCCCCCATGTACCTACCATTTAGGGCTTTAGGGGCTCTAGTATACCCTATATAGTAGGTACCTGGGAGGTTAGGGGGCTACAGGCATAGCCTCGATAGAAAGGCACCCGGCCGGTTCCAGCACTGCGCGAGACGGTATTCACAAAAATCTCATGGTCCCTTTAAAAAGCATCTTACAGGCAGAAATGCCTGTAAGAACCCCTACCCCGAACTAAGCCCCATAAACCATATACCCACTAAAGTAAGGCAGTGGAACTATCGACCCGTAATGCCGATAGAGCCATTGAAGCCCTGAGCCCTGAATCCTAGAACCCTAACAACTAAACCCTTATAAACACTAAAAGCCCAAAGCCCTGTAACATAGGGGCCTGAACAATTAGAATAGGGCTTCGGGACCCATTATAGTCTACGTACAATAAGGAACCCCCCAAATAGTATTGGTAATTATTTAGGCCCCTATATTACCCTAAACCCCGATTGGAGACCTATGGCCTTAGTATGCCCTAGTCCCTAAACCCTAAACCCTAAACCCGACAGGTTGCATGCTCACCGGCGAGTCCCGTGTCTGAATGCCAAACTCCAAGTCCTCTGCTTCCACCTCGTCCTTTTGGGGGGGGCTTAGGGGCTTTAAGGTTGAGGTTAAGGAGTTTTAGGGTTCATAGGGTTGGGAAAGATTGAGGGGTTTAGGAGATCTCAGGGTGGTTTAAGTGGGCCTCAGACACACCGGGTTTAGGGGTCCAGGGATTTTGTTACGTGGGGATGGTGGTTTGAGGTGGCCGGCATGCCGAAAAACAGCAATTGCAACTACCAAGCAGCACCAAGAAAGTGTCTGAATCACTCCCGGTAGCAGACTTCACACCTTCTACCGCAAAAATGGGGGCTGCAATACAAGCGTGTACAAGCTGCTACCCCGAGGCCACGCTGTGTTTCGGATACTCAGATAGTTTAAGCAGGGCCAAGCAAGCCTCGAAGCCAACCCATTCAACTATTGTGAGTATTTGCTGTGGCGACGGCTCAGAGCATGAAGGATCCAAGGGCAGGCTGGGCTGAGATATGGGAGTTTCCGGAAATTAGGGGTACCTTATTTTGGGGTCCTTATAGTAAGGATCCTATGATTTAGGGTGCTATATTAGGGTCCCCTATTTTCGGAATCCCCCATATGGTGGCTCATGGCAGACAAGCATCTATCCACTGAGGGAGGTCGCTGCTCACCAGCTGGAGAGTCAGTGCCCAAACGCAGGCCAGCCAGTGGCACACCAGAATGAGCATCAACAAGAACTTAAATAATGTCACCTGCTGGTATGGAATGGAGTAGGGGATCCTCAGTCCCCAGGTTCGTCACCTAGCTTGTCCACCCTTACTGTACTTCTACCCATAAAGCTTTCACTAGGTGTCGCCTACAACATCCTGTGTCCCTCCTTCTACGAACACACGCAAAATCATTCCAAGATCTCCAAAGTCAAGCAGCTCGTACTTGTGAGTGAACTTTGACGTCTTCAAGACACGAAACAGCTTCACGAGCCTGCAGGGAAGGTACCAAAAGCAAACAAGAAGAAGACCGTCGAGCAACGCTTTCATCAGCCTCCCGCAACCTGAAGCCCTAAACCCCTAAACGGCCCTCAAC